CTCGATAGGAGTCTGCAGCGTGGTACAGCCGCACAAAAGGTCTGTGCAGGTTGGGATGCTTCAGTCAGAGCATTAGGTGCAAGACGCGGGAGGTGCTGGTGCCTCTGCAGTAGCCAGGCCTCAGCCGGATGTTGTGTGTGGTTGTGGGCTCCATGTTTTAAAAAGGACATGAAGAAGGTAGAGGGGGCCCGAGGTGGCAACAGAAATGATCAAGGGCTTGCAAAGCAAGTCCTGCGAGGAGCGGCCGAAGGAGCTGGGCTTGTTCAGTGTGAGAAGGAGCTCAAGGGGGCATGGCAGCAGTCTTCATGGACCCGACGGGCTGCCAGAGAGAAGAGGGAAAGCCCCTGGTCTCTCCTGCTGCAGGAAGGAAGAAGTGGGCCAATGGCTTGAGGTTGCAGCAACGCTGGTTTGGAGCCAGGGCCGTGGGAGAGACGCCAGGGAAGGGAGGGCTCCGCATCTCGGGAGGTGTCGAGGAGAGGTGGATGGACGCTGGGCGGAGATGATCTAGGCACAGCGATGCCTGTGCTCTGCTGTGGGGTGTCCCAGGCTTCGGGCTGTGCTGCTTGCTGCAGGGAGTAGGAAGGACTTTTCCCCTCTTGCTGTTACCACTGGTGGGGGCGGGGGGTCACCTCCCCCAGAGGTGCCAAGTGCTGCTGGGGATGGGACTGGGCTGGGCCAATGCTCCTGCTGGGCCCAAGCCCGCAGGGTCCTGGCGGGAGGGTCTTGCCCCTGCGCTCAGGCTCAGGCCAACGCTGCACTGGGGCAGGAAGGGATTTAGCCCCTTCTCAGACTGGTCTGGTCTGGTCTGGACTGGCGGGGTTCCCTGCCCCTGCAGAGGGGGCACGGCCTCAGCCCGGGCTCTGTGGAGCATCTACGAGGACACTGCTTTGCCGGGGCAGGTTGGGGCGTGATGTCTGGCACTGTCGGGGCTGCCTGCAGTTTTGCTAAGAGGTTGGACACGGGGTTTGTCTGGGCTAGTCTGGACAGGGCTAATCCTGCCTCGGGCCAGGCTTGGACTAGACGTGGGCTCCGGAAGTCCCGTCCAGCCCCGCGGCTCTGGTTCTGTGCCAAGCTGGTCGTGGAGCTCCGCTGCGCGCTCTCCAGCCTGCAGCTGCTCTGGGCTGAGGTCTCTTCCCCCCACTGCCAGCGCGGGGTGCGTGGGGCCCTCCTGGGCTCCCCGCCATGCACGCCAGGCCTGGCTGCCCCTCCATGGTCCCTGCCCGAGCCTGCAGTGCTGGCACCCCCTGCAAGCCGGCCATGCCCGGCCCCACAGCACCGACGGGAGACGTTCTCCCGAAACCAATTGAAGCCGGCTTTGCTGCCACTTCAAGACGTGGCTCCGTGTCTGGCTGTGCAGCAGTGGAAAAGGGGGGTTCTTTCTGGCAGCCCCTCAGGTGCTTAAAGGCCACTGTCACATCCCCTCTCAAGCACCATCTCCGCAAGCAGAGCATGCCCAGCTCCTCCAGCCTCCCCCCACACAGCTTTTCCTTCCAAGCCCTTTATCCCCTTCATCGCCTGCCTCTGGACTCTCTCTGCCTCGCCACGTCCTTTTGAATGTGGAGCTCGGATGTGCACACAGTGCTCCGCCAAGGCCTGGCCAGGGCCAAACAGAGACACTGTCCTGCCCCTGATGCATCCCAAAGCGGTATTCGCCCCGGTGCAGGCCTGGAGCCTGTGGCCCACCAGGAGCCCAGCCCCTTGCTGCCATGCTGCCGCCCAGCCAGGTGCCAGGCAGGGCGTCCATCGTCCAGCCGCAGCGGAGTCCAGCCCGTGTCCCTGCTGGCCGTGGGCCTGGGCCGGCAGCAAGACCCTGCTGACCCGCGTGTGCCCCTCTCTCTGCAGAGATCGACATCACCTGCTGGGACGCCGACCCGGTGCCCGAGGACGAGGAGAGCTTTGGCGGCGGCGTCTAAGGCACGGCCCCGTGCGCCAGCCTCTGACCCACCGCCTGGAGCCCCAGCTGCGTGGGCACACGCGGAGGCCCGGGCTGCCCCGTGGGGCCACGTTTACGGCTTCCTCCCCCTTTTTTAAGTTGTCAATAGGAGACGTGTTGATTCGCCCATGCCCTGTTGGTGCCCAGCCCCTGCCCCCTGCTGCCCCCCCGCCCCGGGTTGAGCGTGTATAACGGAGCCCCAGCTCAGCCCAGCCGGTGCCGGCGCCCACGTGGGGACGGGGCCTCGTGCCCACCAGCTCCACCCCGTCGAGCTTGGAGTATTTTGCACGAATCCGAAATAAACAAGGCAATAAGCGACGCTGGGGTGAGGCTCCGGATGGCTGCGCGCCCCCTGCCCGGGCGCTTGGCCCGGACGCCGGGCAGCTGCGGGGCCGAGGGCCCGTGCAAGTGCCCTCTTCCACCACCACGCTCGTGGCACCCGGCCTCTGCCTTCCCCGCAAGACCCATGGGTGTTGCGCCCCCCCCCTGCCCCTCCGCCCCGCTTTGCCCCTGCCCCCGCTCAGTCCCTCGGTCCTGCCCCCGTTTTTTTGGAAGCACAATTCTGTACCGGCGACGTGCTCATGTATGTTAATAAACAAACGACTCCGCCTGCGCCTGCTGCCTGGCTCTCGCCGCCCGAGCAGGGCCCGTGGCGTGGCGTGGCGTGGAGGAAGTGCGCTACGGGGCGGGGGGCCTGCATTCACAGAGGAATGGGAGCTGTGCCAGCCCCCGTGGCCAGCTCCCCGGGCCTGCTGCTGCTTGGCAGCCCCCACCTTCCCCGAGTGCCACTCTGCCCCCCAGCCCTGCCTGATCTGCTTTCTGCGCCCTGCCTTGTGCTCCCCACCTGAGCTGCTGCTCTGCTTTTTGCTCCCTGTCTTATCTGATGCTCTACTTACCACTTGACTGCTCTGCTTTCTGCACCCCGCCCTGTGCTCCCCACCTGATCTGCTGCTCTTATTTCTGTGTCCTGGCCCATCTGCTGCTCTGCTTCCCACTTCATGTCTGAACTGCTTTCTGTTCCCCACCTGATCCACTGCTCTGCTTTCTGCACCCTGCCCAATCCAGTGCTTTAATCTTCACTTCTTTTTTGCTCGCTGCCTGTGCTTCCTGCCTGGTCCGCTCCCTGCCTGATTTGCTTCCTGCACCCTGTCCAGTGCGTCCTGCCTGAGCTGTTGCTCTGCTTCCCACTTCTTGTCTGCTCGGCTTTCCGCTCTCTGCCTGATCGGCTTTCTGCACCCTGCCTTGTGCTTCCTGCCTGAGCTGCCACTCTGCTTTCTGTTCCCTGCTTAATCTGCTGCTCTGCTTTCTGCTCTACATGTGATCTTTTTCTGCTCCCTGCCAGATCTGTGGCCTGTTTCCTCCCAGATGAGCTGTTTGCCACCCCCTGTCCTATGTGCTGTGATGCTGCCTGTCCCATCCCTGGCCTTCCAAGTCCCTGTGACCCCCTCCCCGCCCTCCTCTCCCCAACGGAGCTATACCTAGACCCCTGTCAGCCCCGGGTGAACGTCTAGTGTTACTCCCCCACCCCCACTTTGCCACAGACAATGATAATAATAATTTTTAAATTACCATGTTCAGGCCGCTTTTCTGGCGGGCCCTGGACGGCCACCCGGTTCACCCATGCCTGTGTACAGCTCTACATGGACGCCCTTGGCCAGGGCCACTCCCCAACCCACCGCAAAAAACCCTGCCTGGACCAGCCTTCTTCCCAGCCTGAAGTGTTGTAGCCATTTCAGTGGCTCCAGGCCTGGCCCCTGCACCAGCACTGGGGCATCAGGCTGCAAGGCTTCCACGGGCGCCCGGGCCATGCACGGGAGGTACAATGTGGCCTCCCCAGGCAGGGCAGGTGGCGGGAGGCTGGGTTCCCGCTGGCCCTGATGTCGTGCCTGCTTGGGCAAGACCCGGCTGTTCTCTGACGGGTGCATTTATTGAGCACAGCAATGGGCGCTGCCAAGTCCCTGACAAAGACAAACACAGACTGACCCCAGCCGTAGTGTCCCAATCAGTTAAAGGGTCAGAGCCTGTTATGATGGCGCCAAGTCTTTGCCAACTGGGAGGGGCAGTGCAGGACCTGAGCCCAGGGTGCAAGGGCAGGCTGAAGGGTCACGGGGTGCAATGCGCGGAGGGGCTGGGTGTGGGGGGCTTGGGGGCTGGCACAGCACAGCTCCAATCCCAGCGTGTGGGGCTGGGTGGAAGCAGTGCAGGGCCTGCAGGGGCGGGCATGGGCAGGGTCTGGGCAAGCAAAGCCAGGCGATGGCTGCATGCCCCCTGCTCCCCCTATCCTGGGCATGGGGCCTGACCCAGGCTTTGTAGGGCCCATGTGAGAGGCAGGACTGAGGTAGCCTAAGTCTGACTGGGCATGCAGGGGTGGCATGGACCAGATCCAGGCATGCAGGGCCTGTGGTGGGAGGGCAGGGTGGTGGGCTCAGCAAAGGGCCTGATCCCAGAGCATGCAGCTGGACTAAGGCTGCCTGGGGCCCCTCTGGGGTGCACAGGGGCAGCGCAGGCAGGATCTGGGCACACAAAGCCTGTGGATGGCCACATGGGGCCCGCTCCTGCATACAGGGTCCCATCCAGGCACGCAGGGCAGCACAGGGCCCAAGCCCCATGTGCAAGGCCAAGACAAGGCCGCATGGGCCTAACCAGGGCACCCAGGGCGGGCCAAGGTGGCAGAGGCATGCCCAGGGCGCACAGGGCTGAGCGGGTGCTGTGGCGGGCGTAATGCAGGCTGGGCCCAGGGGATGTGGGACCCAGCTGAGGCACGCCAGGCTGGCTCTGGCCACGGCAGCACCTGCCCCAGCCCCCAGCTGCGCGCTCCCTTCTGTCACTGGGGAGGGGCCATGGCCGAAGCTGCTGGAGCATCCAAGTGGGTCGTGCCCGCGGCCCCCCCCGCATCCACACACGCCCCCTGGGCCAGCACCGCCCCGCTTGGAGCAGGGCCAACCGCCCAGCCTGCCCCGAGCCCCCGCTGCTCCCCTGGGGAGCCTGGTTGTGGTCCCGCCACCCCCCGAGGCAAAGCCAGGGCCATCCCCCGCCCCGGCCCCCAGCGCGGCCGCAGTGAGCTGGTTCCACAAACTTTTATTCTCAAACTGTAACAAACAAGATAAGAAACGGCTGCGCCGGGGTGCAGCACGGAGCCCCTGCAGCCCCGGGAGGCCGGCAGGCGCCGGGGGCGAGAGGGGAGCCAGCCCCTCGCACCCTGGCCCTGGCAGGCAGGGGTCGGGGGGGGCGAGGGGTCGCGCTGGTCCTGAGGAGCCCCCGGCAGCCGTGGGGAGCAGCCCGGTGGAGGGCGACAGTGGGGCACAGCGGCCACAGTCCTGGTCCCAGTCCCATGCTGGTGCTGGCCTGGGCAGCGCGCTCTACACCGCCGTAGTCCTGCCAAACAAGGGCATCGAGACAGGGAGGTGCCAGGGCCCCGGCTCATATGTGTCCCTGCTGCTGAGCTCGGAGTCTGTCCAGCTGGGGAACATGCGCTGGGAGTGCTCCGCCGCCAGGTAGAGCTCGGGGCAGGTGTGGCCCTGGCCGGCGCCGCTGGGCAGGTGCAGGGAGGAGCCGTAGCTCGGGTCCAGGAAGAGGGGCTTGTAGCTGGGCAGCTGCTCCTGCTTCTCAGGGCGCTCGTGGCTCAGGAAGGGCGCATTGATCTTGCGGTACAGCCCCCGCGTGTCCATCAGCACCTCGCTGTAGGGCGGTGGCGGCTCCGCCATCAGCAGCGCCTCCTCGTAGCACGGCGGCTTGGACAGGTCCGACTCTGCAAGGCAAGTGGCAGGCGGTGCTCAGCGACCTGCAGGGGCCGTGCCCCCAGCCCCAGGGTCCAAACCTGGCCCCTCGCCCCTGCCCAGTACACACCATGCGCGACCCCGTCCCTGCACCCACCCAAGCACACGGTGCAGCCCCATTGCCACCCTGCCCCACCCAGGCCCTGTGAGCAGTGCTTCGTGTGTCAGCAGCACAGGAGAAGGTGCAGGGAAAGGCAGCCACAGCTGTTGGGGCAGGGGCAGCTGCCTGCTCGGGAGGGACTGCACCAGCTCCAGCTTTGCTGTGCGGGAAGGAGGAGGTGAGGGCGGCCAGGGCAGAGATCTAGACCAGCAGGACGGAGAGAGCAACACAAACAGGGACCTGCTGTTCTCCAGGGCCCAGAACACCAGGCCCTGTTAACGCGTGGGACACACTGCTGCAGGACAGGGTGGAGGCAGAGCCCAGCCAAGCCAGAAGGGATGGAGACGTTCGTGTCCATAGGTCTGTAACAGCTGTTGACCAGAACGGTGGAGAGGTTCCCTCCGGCACCCCTGAAGCTGGGGGTGGTGCCAGGAAGGGGACCGGATAGAGGGTGGATTGCTCAGGGAAGGGCCCGGAGAATGGCAACACGGATGACTGGTGGCACGAAGGGGCTTTCACATGAGGAGAGATGATGAGACTAGGCTTGGACACTATGGAAAGGAGCCACTTGAGAGGGGGTGCAAGAAGGGCTTACGAAATACTAAGTAGTGAAGAGGAAGTCACCAGGGATTTGCTAGCGACTCTCGCTCAACACACAAGCGAGGGGTCACAGCATCAAACCAGTGGGCAGTAACCTTAAAACTACCCCCAGGCAGTTCTTTGGCACCAGCCTGTCATTCAAAGGTGAAACAGCTGCCACCAGATGGGGTGGGAGCTGAGAGGGCAGCCAGATCTGCAAAGGCCTTGGACACGTGCTTGGAGGAAAGGGGCGCCAGTCTACGGTGCGGGGGAGCGAGGGGCACGGCCTCTGCAACAGACCTGCCTGGGCCCTCAATGCTGGAGGCTGCATGTGAGAGAGGAACAGAGGAAAACTCTGCTCAGACCCCGTCACTCCCCCTCCAGCCTCCACTCTCTGCCCCCGTGTGACATGGGAAACTGGGCAAGACGGACCTGGGTCTGACCCGATCAAAGGCAGCTCTGATGCTCTTATCATTGAATGACAGAGGATGGGGTCTGGAAGGGAGCTCAGGAGTCACATCTGGTCCAGTGCCCTGCTCCAAGCAGGACCAGCCCCAGCCACATCATCCCAGCCAAGGCTTTGTCCAGCTGCCTCTTAAATACTGCCAAGGATGGAGGCTACACGACCTCTCTGGGTAGCCTGTTCCAGTGCTTCACCACCCTCCTCCTGAGAAAGTTTCTCCCAGTATCCAACCTCAGCTTGCCTTGCTGCAGCTTGAGCCCATTGCTCCTTGTCCTGCCATCTGCCCCCACTGAGACCAGCCCAGCTCTGTCCTCCTTGCCCCCCCCCGCGGGAGGTGAAGGCTGCTGTCACCCCCCGCTTCTCTTCTCCAGACTCAGTCAGCCCAGTCCTCTCAGCCTCTCCTCACCAGTCCTGTCCCCAGCCCTCTCACCACGTTTGTTGCCCTTCACTAGACTGTCTCCAACGTGTCCACATCCTCCCTGTAGCGGGGCCCACAGCTGGACACAGCACTCCAGATGTGGCCTCCCCAGTGCCGAACAGAGGGAAGAATCTCTGCCCTGGATCTGCTGGCGACGCTCCAGCTCCAGCTCCAGCTCCACCCGGCTCAGAGCTCTCCCTCTATAGCCCCCCCGGGGCAGGAGGGCCCGGCTGATACTCGCCTGCCTCCCTCCT